TGATAAGGAGGGGCTCACTCTATTGGCCATGTGCTTCTGTCACTCTGGCACTCTCAACTCCTGGCCTTCCCTGCTTGCTCTCTGGCTTCCTGCGGACAGACTCCAAGGACAGGTAGCCCCTGAGATGACCTGTGTGTGTCTATAATCCTCATCCTCTGTTCACTTCTTAGGTGGAACAGTAAAGATGTTAATACTAAGATGCCTTTGTACTACTAATCTGTCTACTTTCAAGAATTCCAGGAGAAGTGAGGCCTAGCAGTAATGGAATGTGGACAGAGAAGCCCAGCAAAGGTAAATGTCTGCAGTTTTTAAGTATGCCCATGCTGTTCGCTGCATGACTCCTAGGATACCTCATGCTGCTGGGGAAGCTGGGACTTAAGTCTTTTTTCAATGGACAGAGTTCAGGGTAATAACCATTTGTTCCTCTCTGGGTTTTGATTCAGACTGGATTTCCATATGGACTTGGCATTTGCTAATTTCTATTCAGCCGTGTTTTCACCAAGCCTGGTTAATAAAGACTCCTCAATGTACCCTAGACTAGTCTGGCAAGACCTCGCTCACACCCCACAACGGTGAAAGCGATGTAACAACAAAAACATGCCAATACCTATTTTGCTTCAAAAATAGTGTTTTATCAAACTTTGTTTTAAATCTTTGTCAGGCAAATTGTTAGGAGTTACATACTATTATAGCTTTGATGATCTGTGACGTAAAAGCTTACTGTACATGTGTGATGTCATCTTTTCATCTGATTAGTGTTTGCGGCCATGCCTACGTTCCTCCTGAACCATGGTCACTCCAGTTTTAGCTTCTTGAACTCTTCATTTAGTGGATCATTAAGCCTTCAAATAGGTAAACTGAACATGTTGTCTCAAAAAAATTTTACTTTTTTTATAAAATGACCAAATAATATGTCCTATTTAATGACTATTTGTAAGTATTTATTAAGAATTTCATGGCAAGAACAAGCATGTAGGCAAGCAAACAGCTAATTTTAAAAAACTAGAATTAAGTTTTAATGAAAATAATCTTCAAACTAGCTTATATGTTTCAATACAGTATATTATAAAACTGTATCTTCTCAATGTAAGGCTTAACAGCTTCTATAATTAGAAAAGTATGTGGACAAAATAAATATACATGTAGGCCATTTCTAACACAAAGTTATTTTTACTATTACATTTATTCTGAATGAATTACAGCTCAGAAGTACAATGACCAACTTCAATTATAATCTATACTCCAAATACAGAAGAGGTTCTAGGAACTTTTACACATGAAGTACAAATAAATTATTTTTCTTTTTTTAAGATTTATTTATTTTTATTGGAAAGTTAGATATACAGAGAGGAGGAGAGACAGAGAGAAAAATCTTCCATCTGTTGATTTACTCCTCAAGTAGCAACAACCGGAGCTGCTCCGTTCTGAAGCCAGGATCCTGGAGCCTCTTCCAGGTCTCCCGCATGGGTGCAGGGTCCCAAGGCTTTGGGCCGCGCTCTACTGCTTTCCCAGGCCACAAGCACGGAGCTAGATGAGAGCAAGGCCGCTGGGATTAGAACCAGTACCCATATGTGATCCCAGCGCTTGCAAGAGGAGGACTTCAGCCACTCAGCTACCGTGCCAAGCCCTAAATTATTTTTCTCTCATAAAGTAACTCAGAAAACTTTCCACAACAGCATCTCAATCAAGGGCTCTCAAACTTGGCTGAAAAAGTCCTCAATGGCCTTCAATTTCCTGGTGGCAAAGTTAGAAAATGTGTTTCCCACAGCAAAGTCCCCAGGTTCAATATCTAGTTTGGACTCCTGCCTCCAGTTTCCTGCTAAACACAGACCCCAAGTGACAGTGGCTCAAATACTGGGTTCCCGCCAACCGCAGGGAGACCTGCACTGCCTTCTCTTCACCCTAGTTCAGCATCTGAAGAACAAACAGCTGACAGTTACTTGCTGTCTTTCTACCTCTCAAATAATAAATTTCTTTAAATTTTAGAAATTAAAATAGAATATCTACAAGAGATATCCAGGAAGCAGAATCTTTTAAATTATCTGTGAATCAGAGAAGGAGAATAGACATTAAAAATGCCCCCCTACTAGCAGGTTCACTCTCCAGCTGACAAAACTGGGCACTCAATCCACAAAGACAGCAGAAATCCCAATTACTTGAAGCATCACATGGGGTCCATGTATAGCATCCAAGTACTCTAACATGGTTCAAGGGCATCTTATGCACAAAACAAACTATGTGCCCCTTCCTTTGTCAATGCCAATGCAAAACTCAGGCTGGGAATCACTGTATTAGAAAAAAAAAAGAAACTTTTCTTATACATTTCAACTAAACTGAAGTATCTCAAGAACTGATGTCATCATCATAAAGGAATAGCTAAACTAAATTTTCCCTAGACTCTGAAAGCCAGCACACATCAGTAGTAGTAAACCAAGGACCACTACTACCAAATAAATGTGGTAGGAACTTAGACTGCAAAGAAAATGAAATTATTTTTTTGTTCTTTTATTTTCCTTTTAAAACTTTGCTTATAGGGCCCGGCGCAGTGGCGCAAGTGGTTAAGGTCCTCGCCTTGCACGCCCGGGATCCCATATGGGTGCCGGTTCTATCCCGGCTGCCCCGCTTCCCATCCAGCTCCCTGCCTGTGGCCCGGGAAAGCAGTCGAGGACGGCCCAAAGCTTTGGGACCCTGCACCTGCGTGGGAGACCCAGAAGAGGCTCCTGGCTTCTGATCGGCATAGCATCGGCTGTTGTGCTCACTTGGGGAGTGACTCATCAGACAGAAGATCTTCCTCTGTCTCTCCTCTCTGTATATCCGCCTTTCCAATAAAAAAATAATAAAAATAAATCTTTAAAAAAAAAAAACTTTGCTTATAAAGAACTACACAAATATAATCCATGAAATCACATTCTTAAAGTCTCATCAAAATTCCATTTTTTCTTTAAATGGAATTGCAATGCTTTTTAAAAAAAAAAAAACTTACTGATTGATTCTGTAACTGCTTTTGTAACAGCTACTTTCACTTTATTCATTTAGTGATTCTCTATGTGCTACAAGCGCTGGGAGATGGAATCTGGGACCAAACACGAATTATTAGAGAATTTTACATGAAAAAAAAAACAGAAAGGAAATAGATACACAGATAGAGGAACAATTTAAAAAAAACTATATGAGGTCTAAAATATATGATTTGGTGATCAAACGTTCACGAAAAACTTTTCCTATAGGAATCTAACTACTTTTCAAAAGGTAGTAGACATAATGACTGGGAGACCCCTGAGTTTAAGATCTCAACCCCTAAGAACCTTTTATCCGTGAGCAAGATACTTTCCTGAGCTATATCCAAAACAGGATTTTTTTTTTTAAAAAAAAAGCATGCTTTTTCCCCATTCTTCATGGTGCGAGTACCCTCCGAACACAACATTCTCGACTTTCTTTCTTCCTCACTCATACTTCCAAGAGCAGGGGTCATGCAATAGGATCATTTGGAATGAGAAAACAGTGTTAGACTGGCATCTTTGTTTCTTTTGACTAGAACTCACGCTACCAGTTTACATAGGCAAGTACAGACTCTCCTGTGTTTAACATAAGTCTACATAATCCTAGTTAGTATTAATAAGCCCATTTTCCCACAGATAAAAACACTTTTTTAATTTTTAAAATATTTTTGCTTTATTTTTAAAAAATATGATACCTTATCTTTATCCTCTCCCTCCGATGTGACTTGGAATTCAGGCACAGTGTGGTACTAGTTATTAGACTCCATGTAAACTTTAGTATGAACCTGCTTCATTGAGTTTGGAAAGCATTAAGTAATGCATGTAAAAATCTTAGAATCCGATGTTATGGCCTAGCAGCTGAAGTCCTCTTCTTGAACGTGCCAGGATCCTACATGGGTACCAGTTCTAATTTCAGCCATTCCACTTCCCATTCATCTCCCTGCTTGTGGTCTGGGAAACCAGTAGAGGATGGCCCAAAGCCTTGGGACCCTGCCCCTGCCTGGGAGACCCAGAAGTTCCAGGCTCCTGGCTTCAGATCGGCTCAGCTCCAACCATTGTGGCCACTCAGGCAGTGAATCATTGGACGTAAGATCTTCTTCTCTGTCTCTCCTCCTCTCTGTATATCTGACTTTGCAATAAAATAAATAAATTTTTTAAAAACAAAATCTTAATGCAGAACCTGAAACACAGTAAGCACTCAAAACCTGAAAGCTACTTCTGTTACTATCACATAATTATAAAATAAGTAAAAGTTGTTAATGGGCCCAAATTTAAAGTATTCAATTTCCTATAAAACACTTAAATATGAATTCGGGACATCCATTCACTAAAGTGTAAGTCGGCTACAATGCTTATAATAAATGTAGAATGTGAATTATGGAATAGCGTATTATGTTTAAAATCAGAACAAAAATTAAGAAGAGATATTTTATAGTCTAAAAAATCCTCAGCAACTATACACAAAAATAGATATAATTTACACAAGCTAAATCAGTGCATAAAATATTAAAAATGTAAGAGGCTTTTAGAATAATCTTGAGATCCTATAGGTTTTCAAGAAAATATACACAGCTTATTCTATAAATTTATTTGGTTTTGTAATATGTGAAAAGCACAAACAAAATGCACAGAGATATGTCTTATATGAAACATGTACTATGAAATAAAAGCAGACCTTCTAAATGAGGGGAGGAAGCTCACTTATTAATCTGAGATCTATAGGCCTCAAAATCTTGAGGAAACTCCTGAGGCTACTTATAAAATGTGTGTGTGTGTGTGGTTAAAACCTGCCCCACCCCTTCCACTGTATTCTGAAAAGGTAAGGACAACAAAACCACATTTTATAATCCAAGTGATTATTTACAGTTTATATTAATTGTTTAATTTTACTACTAAGTTTTAAGATATTTTCCATTTAGATAATTTCACTACACAAAAAATCAGAAATAGTTAACTACAGAGAAAAATCAGCACTTAAATGTAAAAATAGCCGCTTACCTCTTAACGTTCTTCTGGTGCGATGTTTTCCTCAACACCAAACACTTTCACCACCGTTTCCAAGTCCGTTGTGCTGCTCTCTTTCCATATTCCTTCAGTTGGCAGTTTTGCAAAAATGTTTTCGAAGTAACTGGAGCTGTTCTTGAAGCCATCAGACAGTACCAAGCATGAGGCAGCTGCACATGCACCAAACGGGAGCAGACTCGAGGGATTATGGCTTTTGCTACCAACTTTTTTTCTTACTGTAAGATTTTGAGAATGTAATCTTTTACTAACCTGGCTTTTTCTTAAGAGATTATTATACACGCCTTTCCTCTTGGTAGGTTTCTGTTTTTTTAGATTTTGTTTTCCAGTGTATGTGTAATTTACATTTACTGTTTCACATTGCTTTTGATCTAGCAAAGCGCAAACAGCCTCACTCTGAAATATATAGTGGATGTCTGTAGATGCAGGAGCAGAAATTCCATCAATATTCACCAAATCTTTAGAATATACTGCAAGACCAGAAGCAACTAATATATGTGCCAAATTGTTCTCCTCATGAGTGACATCTACTTCCAGTTTCTTCTGAAAACCGTATTCCCTAAACTGAAAAACTAGTCCTGGTTTACTTAGGAAATCTTGAAAAAACCTTTTGGCTTCATCACTCCAGTGTCTGCTTTTAGCAGGTAAGATGCCATTTAAGATACATGGATAACTGAGCCTTGGTAAATTCAACAGCTCCTCAGGAACAACTTTCAGATTGACTGTATCTGAATAAGGTATATAAACAGAAAGCCCATAGTCGACCAACATAAGATGCAAATACCTATCAGAGATATCAGAAATTTCTACTCTCATCCACTGATCTTCCAACTCATATCTGAACAAACAAGTAGAACCAGGAACTATGTGCTCTTGAGGCACAGTTTGCAAAGTTTCTGGTAGATCAGAAAGCAACATAAAGAGACATTTCATTGTGTCAAAAAAATCTTCTAATTGAACACAGAAGTTTGTTGGATCAGAAACAGCAGTGGCAATACCAGAATACTGTCTACCATTTTGGAGTTGTGCCCAAGTAAATGATCTTATTGCACATGATGACACAGGATTTTGAGATTCTGTGTTGAAAGTAATTCCTGAAGGCCGACATTTGTTTTCTTCAGCCTGAATAGCACTCAAATTTAAATATTCCAAAAGTAACATACCATCTATCAAAATGTCTACTTCCCAAGCAGAGTCTGAATATTTCAGGAAAAGAATGTTTATTTCCAAATGAGCGAATAAAAATACAATAGACTCAAATGATACGTTCTTAGAATTTTTAAACCAAATCCATTTACAAGGAACAGCTTGCCTTGGAATATTTCTGAGTTCATCACTGAGCACCTTGGTAGTAACGAAAGGCACTATTTCATACCTACCCATATCTACCAAGAAAACCAGCACTTTTTCATGAACATATTTTGCTTCTACTTTCGATCGGTACCATTTCAGGGACTTCTTAGATTTTGCCAAGCATTCCAAGCCTTTTTCAATATGTTCTACTGATAAAAAAGAGCTTTTCTTCTCTTCTTTTGTAATTAACACAGTTAAATCTGAAAATATTTTTTTGTTTTTGGATAGTTTCACATAAAATCTTCCACTTTTTGAAACATAAAGTATTTCAGCTCTTTCAAGCTGTCCAGGTTTTAACTCTTCAAAAGGAATTTTAACCAGCTGTTGGCAGGATGCTTGGAGGATCGCAGGACGTTCATATTCATTTGATCTTCCTTTCTTCATTTCATGAGTCTCCCTAGGGTTCACATCCTGAGAGACAATTGGAGGTGTATGTAACACTGTCTTCTGTAGTTTTGAACATGCTGTCCATTTCAGTAATTCATTGATAATGCACTTTCCATCACAATTTATATTAACTTCCCACTTATGCTCATACTTTTTCAAAAATTCACAAGACACAATTTTGTTACTTACTCTTGAAGCAAAATAATTCACAGTTTTGCTGTCCCAAATTTCATCAGGCTCATTCCATTTTACTCCACTAAGAAAAGAATGGATTCCTAGCTGAGGAATAGCTAAGAATTCTCTCTTCAGTTCATAAATTTTAGAAATGTGTACCATTGAAGTATTGCCATAATCGATAAATTCTACTTCAAAAGAATTACCTGGCAAAATTTTCTTAATAACGGCTCTGTAAAGAGCATTGTCACCAAGGTACTCTGCAACCACAAGGTCTCCCACCAATGGCTTCACTGATTTTCTCTTTTTCACCCTATTTGCTCGTCTTTCATTTAGAGCATCTGCAAGTCTCATGATGACATTTTCACTCTCAACAACCTGAATATGGAAACTTGCTGGGCTGTTGATATTAGAAACATATCCTCTAACTCTGGAGTTCAAGTAAATGTGAGGTTGAGGCAGATCTTTGATCTGTGGTCTACCAAGGCTGCCTAAGTTTTGTGACGCTGCTTGATTCAACTCTTGCATGAACGATGGTGACAGAACCTTTACTGCTTTTTCACCTACTTCACTTTCCTCAAACATATGTGCAGATGCAGGGACTAATTTTATATCTTTAAGTCCATCATTCAAAGATTTCTTCATTTTGTTTTTTGACACAGTTTCAATTTTATAACAAACTGGTGGTTTCAAAAGTCTAGCATACACATTTGGGGGCTGCATTAAGTGATGTATTTGGTTATTGGGGTATGTTACCATACTAGTCCTACCCATCATATGATGGTAATAGTTGCTTTCTATTTTGTCTTTCAAAGAAGCAGCAAGTATCTTATTCTCACTGATTTTATGACCCTTCTCCATACAAGGTGTTTGGGCAGAATGTGTTTTTCTGTAAGTATAAAGCCATCTTTTGATTTTTTGATTTATCTGTTGGCACCCATCATACAATTCTATGCCAAGCTGTCCATCTGTCTCCCTAGACAATACGACTGCCTTTAATGGTTTTCCCAAGAAGTTTTCTTCAAACCAGCCACTGATTTCTGCTGGAATATCTACATCTCTAAGATCTGAGAGAAAGCATTCAATAGCTTGCATAGGTGTAAACAGCAACTCTGGAAACTGATCTGAAATGGCCCTCAACATATTTTCTTCTACTAATTGCTTATTTCCAAAATCCACGAAATAAACTAAAAAGCCAGATGATGAATCTGTTGGTATTGCTAAGGCTCTATATGAAAAACCATCATCTACATACTTGCATATACACAGTCTCATTTTACTAGAATCATATTTTGGACAGTTCTTGAGGTTAACAACCTCAGCGATTTTTGTTTCTAACATCTCTAGATATGCATTATTTCTACTAAGTTGACAATAGAATTTTTGGGGACTAAATACATGAGATATGTATACTTCTTCTATACTTCCAATCTTTAAATTAAAGGAAGAATAATAGTAACTATAAAGACTAATAGACGGTGGAAGAGGCTTTGATAATGTGCTATACTGTGCAAAACCACGACTCATGAGAAATTCTTTTGCACTAGTAAATGAGGATTGTAAATCTACTAAATTACACAAACAGTTTGGACGTATAAAAACTAATGCACAGATGATACAAGTCAATAATCCTCTGGATGAAAAAATAAAACTTTCCAAGTCTTTGGATGCTTCTCTTGTCCAAAGGAATAATTTACAACTAATGGGTTCAACTAAATGGTTAAGACAACACCTGATGGCTTGGCTTTCTAAAATAAGGAATTGTGGGTTGATAGCACAAAGGTCTTTAATTAAAACTCTTTCTTGGTAACCATAGTCAACAAATCTTATGTAAACCTCTCTTTTTGATACCTGTGTCAAAACAGCACATCGATGCCACTTTCCGTCTTTGGAATACTTAGCAACACAAGGAATCTGTCCAATCTCATAAGGATCTGAATGGATACTATAATAATTCTGAATTTGTTCCATTAGCAATTTTAAGTCTTCTAATTTACACTGTAGCTGGCATGAAAAGTCATCTGGACCACAGTAATAAGAACATCTAACTTCCAGAATTGTTCCTGGTTTAAACATATATTCTTTATAGGGCCATACTGACTTAGGCCCAAGAAATATGGATAAAGGAGATTTTAAACCTGATAAATTAACAGTCGAGTACTTTGACAAAGACAAGTTATTTTTCTCTAGGTTATGTGAATGATACACTTTAGATGCAGGCACATTGAGAGGAGTAGATACAACTTTTCTAATATTAGCACTGCTTTTAGATTTTACCATTGGATGCTCACTTACAGATTTTGGAAAACATTCTGGTGATACTTCCCAATATTCTGCATAGCCAGCGTGTAACATAAGAGAAACAACATCAATATTTTCTGAGGATTCAATACTCTGAATCTTTACAGTATACTTAGCATCCTTTTTTGCTATCACTTGAAGCAAAACAGCTTTGTTCAAAACAATCTTTTTAAAATAATCAATTGCTGCTTTTACCCATAAATCTTCAATAGGCAATACATGTGCAAGTGAACAGCACATGGCTAAAGCAGGCAACTCACAAAACTCTGGAAGCAAAATTTTCACATCAAAAAATGGTATTGAATCAGTATTTCCGTAATCTAAAAAATAAACATTAATCTTATAACCGCTAACCTCAGTGATGACAGCCCTGTAAAAATGCCTGTCCTTGCTGTATCTAGCACAACAAAATAATCCAGGCTTAGGATTCCTTAGAATTAGTTCATCATTTTCACATAAATCATAAAATTTGTTTATATTTTTCATTATATATTGAAATTTATTCTGATGGTCATTAGTGCGTACCCAGAAATTTGATGGGTTTAATACATATGCTACAAAAGCTATGTAGGTAGCCTCGATCTCCATTTTCACAGTTTTAATAGAAAAGTTTACTTTAAGAATATCTTTGTGATTTAGATAGTCAATCAGTTGTTCACAATTTCCAATATGACTCTCAACAGCAGACACACTTGTCTTCTGCAAATTTTTAGAGGTTTTAGCATCTGACACTGGACAAAGCGCTTGCGTGCCGGTCTTCAATAGAGAATTCATTGTGGACTCTTGAGTTTGCAATGTCACATAGTACAAATGTTCATCTTTATTAAATCTATCAATGTGTGCATATACTACCTGCCCCAATAGGGCTTGTTTAAACACATTCAGTTGAAATTTTCTTGCATCTCTATCTGAACTATGTAGACATGTCAGAGAACATGGAAATGAAAATAATGGTACTAAAATAAAATCCTGCTTAAGTTTCTTTACATGGATTGAAGGGATCGCTTCACTACTGCCATAATCCATAAACCAAATTTTTGTTTTGTTATTGGGCAAGAGCTGCTGAAGAATCCCCCTATGCCACTGTCCGCTTCCCCTTCGTGCAACACAAAGTAATCCAAAATTGTCACAAGTAGGAACAGTTTCTTGACTAATAACATCATAATGTAAAGTCATACACACTGCCAATTTTTCCAGCTCTGGTATCCATTTAATTAATTGACAATAAAATTTGCTTGGGCTTAATGCAGATGATACCTTTACACTTTCAGTACTTCCTACAGACAAAGATGGCTGCAAGTTATCCAGAACATGTTGAATATCAAGTAAAGTATCATTATTACTTAATGACAATTCAGGCCTTTTATGTTGTAACAAATCTGGCATTTGTTGAGGGAATTCTTTTAACATTTCTACAACAAGACGAAATGAATCTTCATCAATAAATCTTCCAAACTGTAATTCAAGAGTCTGGGATATAATTTTTGGCACTTCAAGAAGAATCATTTGCAAAGGCAACACAGCTTGAACAGAGCCTTTCACTTGCAATCCTACTAATGACTTGAAATAATTCAAAGCCTTAGGGGACCATTTTTCCCCAACTGGTAGTATGTTGGCAAAAATACCAACGACTACTCGTGGTGGTAACTCAAATAAATTGTCACAGCCTGAAGAAATCTGTGTACTATCTACTCTAATTTCTTCCCCACGATCTATGAGGAACACTGTGTAGAGTTCATTTTTCTTTTCTATAACCCTTCCTCTTTGCCATTCTCCAGATACTCTTTCTTCCACAAGACAAAGTTCATGTACAGCCACATTATTTTTTACTTTTGGAATATGTTGTATTTCCCTCTGCAATATGTGGTAGTCAAACTCACATTCACCATTATTTCTGCCTTGAAATTTCACCAGAATTTCCTTGGGAAGACATTCAATATGTGATATCATCAAATCCATATCTAAAGCTGTCGGTAATAGAGATGTAGACTCCATTTCTACGTGTTCTAAAAAGAAAATATGTACTAATTAGCCTCTGGACAGATAGTTCCAAATTTATCCAGCTTTATGTGAATTTGATATGCAAATGTAAGCCTTTTAAAAATAGCTACATACCTCTACTTTCATCTAATTAAACAAGATGATAAAAAAAATCACACATTGGAAAAATAGTGAGATCAGCAAAATCTGCTCACTGCCTCTATCCTTTGTAAAACTTTCCACCAAAATAACTAAAGAGAAATTTCTAAAATGGTACAGTGAATATGCAGTATCTCTGGAAAACAGATCTCACCCTCTATTTTCTAGAAATTTGAACAAATTTTGAATAGATGTTGTGTCAATAAAGGGAGCAAATAAGGCCCATTGGGACCTCCTCTTTCTCCCATGACAAAACCAGCTTCTCCTATTACTTCTAACAATCCTTGGTGTTTGAATTCCCTACTTTCAGTTTGCAGCATTTGGATCCTATCAGCATCACTGCATGCCAGCAGAACTCCTCCATTAAACATAGGTAGGACACACAGCACAAGCCAACAAAGCTCCAAAGCACAAAAACACTGTAGGAATGAATTACAAAAATTATCAAATCAACTCTTCCAAACCAGTATCCCTTTTTTTGTGCAATACAAAGGACCTCATGGAAAGTTTCATACCAAAGGGAACAACTATTTGTGCCTGATTACACATAGTTCTCACTAAACCAGTAACATCCAGAAATAGATTTTGGAGGCATTGAACTCAAACACCCTGCCTGAAGAAAACAGAAGTGCTAACAGATAACAAAGCTGCTGTTACATCCATTTTGTCTCGATTTTTCTTCACTGAGCCCAATATACTGAGGCTTGGAGGCCACTCAGCACAGCTAAGCATGTAAGCATACTAATCCAGGTAAAATACACCAAGGCCTGACTGCTCTCACACACACAAGGAAAAGGAAACAAAAGTGTTTAGCATAAGGGCCAAGTCCCTAACCATGGCTAATCTCCAAATGTAGGGAAATCTAAAAACAGGAAGATAATATTCAAGAAGAATAAAAGAGTCTCCAATTTAAAGCAAGGGCCCATATCCACTGTGATGCAACACAGCTCAACTTTCCCTTGACAGCTGACAAGAATGAGTTTCTGCAAGAATAAAGAAAAACTAAACATTTAAAAAGAAAAAGAGAAAACCAAAGGCATGCTCCCTCCACAAATAAAAGTACTAGAAAGAACAGCAAATAGCTATTTTCCAAAAAAATTTATTTCTGTTCCTAGAAAGATAAAAAAAAATTATTCACTCCTGCAGGCGTTAGTCAAGATGCAACAACCGAGATGAAGAATTACACCCACATAAAAATTTCAAAACAACAATGGGAAAGAGAACTAAATAAAAAGAAGAAATTTTTAAGAGAACACACCAAAACTTCAAAAGGAAGAATAGAAAAGTTTAAGGACACATGAGACCATGACATAAAATCTTAGTAATGTCTAAGCATTACCTCAAGAAAGACATGAAACAACAGCAACAAACAGAAGCGCTTTCTAGCACTTAAGACACAAGTTCACAAACAAACAGGGCTCTAGAAACATGTAGAAAAAAAGAGACACATGATTCAGGTATACCTGGGTAAGCAACTTTGGATTTTACTTTCTCCTAAGTAATTAATCTGTATGGTAATCAGCATGGTGGGAGCAAGAGGGATTCACTCCCAGCTATGATAACCTGATTTTATAGGAAACAATCAATGGGAAATACACTAAATACTTTCACTATAAAAGTCCTCAGTACTGAAGGGCCTTCCTAAGCCTTCTTTATTTAAACTCACCAGCTTCCACCTAATTTTCAGACTTCAGCTTATATCCTGAGCAATAATCCCTTGCAGCAAGAGAAGACCAGTTATCTTACACTGAATACCAAGAACATTTTCTTGGCATTACCCTAAAGATTGGCATAAACATTCATCTGGGTTAAATGGAAAGGAAAAATGAACAAATTTTCCAACCAATGGAACCTTATTTTGAGAATTAAAAGCAGATGTAGCCAGCTCCTTCATTAAATAAATGAAATAAAGGGAGTGGGCACGATGGTATAGCAGCTGATCCTCCACTTACAGTTCTGGCATCCCATATGGGCACCGGTTGTGGCCCAGCTGCTCCAGCCTGTTGGTGGCCTGAGATAACAGCAGAGGGGAGCCTAAGACATTGGGCCCTTGTAGCCGTGTGGGAGACCCAAAGAAGCTCCTGGTTCCCAGCTTTGACATGTCCATGTCCGGCTGTCAAAATCATTTAAACGGGGAGTGATCCAACAGACAGAAGCTTTCTCATTCCGTTTCCCCCATCTCTCTCTGTTGTTCAAATTTTCAAGCAAAAATACACAAATAAATAAATAAGAAAAGGGAAAATCATCCATTAAAGGATTTGTAGGAAGAAATTATTCAAACTATCAGCAGCCTGCTCTTCCACACTGTTATCATTGCTCAACTAATACAAACACCCTCATGGGGAATTTCACATCAAACTGAGAAAAACAGTCTGGCTTACACACAGCTGTCACCTAATGCCAGCAATATCCAGAAACAGACTGCTGAGGCATTGCACTCCAAGCCAGTGCAGCATCCCCCACCCAATAGACAAATGAAACCTCCACAGTAGACATAGCTACCACTATTATCCATCCTGCCTGAAGAAGATACTACTGGAGTTAAGGAAAAAAATGCAAATTAGTAAATGATGATCAATGCTTTACGTAGATGAACAGAAAAACCGAAGGAGCAAGAACAGAGTATCTATTGCAAAGAACTATGGAGAATTAACACATTCTTGTTCCTCTAAGAATCAGCACCAAAAAAGGATCATTTTAATTAAACCTCATGTAATAATTTGCCCCAAAGGACTCCACTATAGAAAAAAATAATTCTTAATCAGGAACATTGAAGAGCTATTCATATGTCTGTCAATCAACCTCTTCAGCTGCTTCTCCCTGCTTTCTCAATAAGATAAAGAGGTGATTCCCACATCTTTATAAATCTAGTCAATGTTGGCTGAAACAATTAAGGGAAAATTCAGGAAAAAATTAACAAGAAATTTAAAGCCAAACTAATTATGAATACAATGAACCAATATATCAATGTTAAAGACATACTTTAAATCAAGATTTTAAAGATTCACAGTTACTAAGCATCACATTTGCTAAACATTACAATACCAAACACAGTACTTACTCAAAGTATACAGAATCCCAACTTCAGGAAATTCGATCTTGAAACTCAATTGAGTAAAATGTGAGAAAAGGCTGCTTCTTCTTTTTTTTAAAATCTGCAAAAGTTATTTAGAATTTTTTCAAGACATTTTTATTTGTAACAGAAATTCTGATTAAACTATTATAAAATATAAAAAGAAAACATGCATAAAGGAACTAAGTGATGTTATAGAAACTCTACTCACGTTACTCATAGTCAGTAATTAAGCCATTCTACTAAATACAAACCTATAGAGGTTTACTATTGGGTTGGACAGTGCTGTACTGAAAAGATCAGATTCAGACACAGAATATATTATACCTGCTTCCACAATCACACATGACTTGATATAAATTCAAACAGTAATATGGGAGAACCACAACAATATAAAAATATAAATTAGTGAATCATATACTAATTAACATTATTCACTACTTTTGAATAATTATATTTTAATATTTTTATTTTTAAAAAATTAAATCATAAGTCACAAATTTATGAAATTAAGTAAATAAATAAGTATTTATAAAAATGTCATGCTCTCACCCATTGGGTGTTGTCTTCCACGGCTACCCAGCCAATCCAGAGCACAGAAAACAACAAATAGAACTGAGCGATCTTTGTAAATGTACTTTATTTTAAGCTTATTTTATTTACATAAAGTGAACAAATCGCATGTATTTCACAAAACAGATTCAGAAGCATAGTGGTATTTCCCACCCGACCATCCCTCCATCCAACACCCTACTTCCTTGTTCTCTTTTAATTTTTACAATGTCATAGTTTCTATTTACTTCACAATCACAGCCTTACAACTCCACTGGGTAATTTAACAAAAAGCAGATAGAAAAAAGGACCTACTTTCCTCAAGAGTATAAACACACAATGTAAACAATAATCCAATCTCAAACTGTCAAGCTCACTCACATATATTCCTTTTTTTGTACACTACTAATTACTATGGCTCAGGGAAAAAACATGATGTTTGTGCTCTGAGGGCTGACATTTTTCACTAAGCATAACACTTCTAGCTGCATCTATTTTGTTGCTAAAAACACGTTTTCATTCTTCCTATGGCTGAGTAATATTCCATAAAATATATATACCACACTTTATTCAGGCATGCTTTGATGGACTGACATCTCAGCTATTCTGAACTGAGTTACAATAACTATGGGTATACAAATAAATCTCTCATATTCTGATTTCATTTCCTTTGGGTGAATTTCCAGAAGTGCGATGGGTTGGTCATATGATAGATCTATTATAATATGATGGATCTATTATCACATTAGCAATGACAGGACCAAATTTTTCAGCAACACACTAGTCATTCAGTAGCACGTTATTTAACTTCATGGTGTTGTTTGTTTTGTTTCTTGGCTTTTCATTTAAGGGGATGTATAGTAAATGTGTAATGGAGACTATCATATCTAGCAGCATGTTATTTAACTTCATGGCATTGTAAATTTCTATTTTTCTTCCTAGTGTTGATTTTGTTTTGTGGCTTATTATTTTCGGGGATGTACAGTGTCTGTGTAATGGTGACTATCAGAGCCAGATGTGAGGATACAATGCAGTATGCATCTCTACTTCCAGACAAAGATGGACTCCCAGTGAAACTGTTTACTATATATTGACAATCGGATGCTGGACTCCCTGTCATTGCCCATGCCCACACTGATGGACATATGACTGTGAATGAAGAACTATCCTATACTAATGATATAGGAGAACTCAGTGAGGCGGGAGGGAACTGGAGTGTGGGTAAGGGAAA